TTAAACGTGGAATAAGTAATTATATAAGAGGATAATAATTAAATAATCGTCCCCCCGATAAGGATATCCTGCGTGTGTCCTTTAATATATATAGAGGATATAGATCCAGCAGCCTCGAAAAAGGGGGTTATATAACCGGCTACTAATACTATACTAAAGCCGTATCTACGCGGTTATAGTAGGTACTTATAAGGCTTCTATCCTCGGATACGGAGACGTTAAGCTACGTGTATAATCCCTATTAGGTATAAAAAGGCTACTACGCCTCCGTAATATTATATACTATAAGGAATTCGTTACTAATATCGTCTTAGAATACTAGCTACGCCTATAATGTTACTACTAGGATACCGTAAATAATACTATTATTAGGTCCGCTAATAACCGGCCTATCTATAAGCTACTAGATATCCACGGCTAGTATATAATCGAGCGCGCGGAAGCTACGGCCGCTATCGTATTCGCGGTCTTAGTAAGGCACCCGCGCGATAACTAGTATAGAAGATCACGATAACCGCGGTAACCGTAGAAGACTACGGTATAATAGTAGCACGAACGCCTTAGCTACTACGGCACCGATACTCTTATAAAGATCGTTAATGCCACTTAGGGGGTAAAGATAAAGAGACCACGTATAACGGACTATAACGCGTATAGGTAATCGTAAATACCTATATAGATCCGGCGGATACTATCCTTTTACCCGTTAAAGCCCGGAGAGGCCCTAGCTATTAATTCTTATAATCTAAAAGAGTCGGAATCGCTACGCGGCCTATATAAGTCTATTATATTCGTTATAAATGTGTATATAGGCTATATATAGAATTACTACCTATAGAAAAGAGACTAAGGCTCTATCCTATACGCGTTAAAGGATGTTTTTACCCTCCTTAAGACTTAATTCGATATTAGGCTACGCGTTCTACGGGCTGATTCCGAGATATTTTAGCACTTAGAAGTCGTTGCTTTCCTCGCTGCTAAGAGGGTAAAAGGTTAGCCGTTAGCACTATACTTATAGAATTAAAATCGCGTTATAGAACAGATTAAAGGTATCGTTAAGAGAAAGGCGAGGGCTATAAGGATTAGGGCTAATCTACCCACGTCTATTTAGCCTAAGATCTTTAAGACTACTCTATATCTATATAATAGAATACCACGATATATTAACGATTAGAAGACGCTATACGAAGGCCTATATAGCCGTTAACCTAACCTTATATATCTACGAGTATACGGCTATAAAGTCTGTATAAAAACGCGTGATACCTAAGCTAAAAGAAACCGCCTATAAAGACCAGAACTAAAGGTATAGATCGGATATTATATTAAATACTATTCCTCGAATAGCTTCCGCGTAAAGCTACTACACCTAATAGATATTATTACTATAAGAGACGTGATCTTTAACGAAGATAAGACCTTTAACGGTAGGATTAAAATGCTATAAGCTATAGCTTCCGCCGAGGAAATCGGGGAACGCTTATAATCTATCCGTATCACTTAATTTAATAATATCACGACCACGAATAGGCTATTAGGAAAGGGTATAGCCGTAGATATATTAGATCTTAAGTCGGAAGACTCTAGCGTTACTATTATTACTATAGACGAAGGCGAGGCCGTCGCTATTACTACGAGAGATGCTACCGCTATTATTACGGGCACCGCTATTATTACGGGTACCGCTATTATTACGGGTAAAGGCGACGCTACCGCTATTACCGCGGATAAAGGCGAGGCCGTCGCTATTACTATAAGAGAGGCTACCGCTATTATTACGCGCACTACTATTACTACGGAAAAGGATACTGCTATTACTACGGATACTCCACGGTTTACTACTATAAGGTTTAAACCGTTTCCTACGCCCTTAATATCCCCGGAAGATCCTATACGCGCGTTCCTTATAGCGTTAGCGGTGGTTAGGGGCGTTAAGGTAAAAGGAGATAATAACCAGTAACAGATAGCCGTGGATACCCCTAAGGGGTGCTTATCGGCCGTACACCTATCGGCCGCGCGCCTATTACCCGCGCTCCTATCTATTCTAAGAATTATTATAAGTATCTATAAGACTAAGAAAGTGTAGAACGATAACACCTAAAAGGCGTTCTTTAATGCTAGAAGGACTTATAACCCTATATGCGTAAGGAAGTAAGCTATTAATAACGGCGATATCGGTGCTATAGATCCCTCTCCCGTTAACGCCTTTTAGCCGCTATCGCGCCTAACCCGCGAGGATCTCCCGCCTCCGCTAAACTACCACTGCGATATACGCCTCTACCCGTTACGGGAGCGGTAATTATAGGCTAAGGGGGAATACCTTAAGGGTTACCGATAAATAGGCTACTAGTAGGAGGTAGGTAGTAATTAGGCTAATAAGTAATAAGTCCTCGCTTATAGATAGGTATATACCTATAAAGTTAATAAGGAGGGCACCCTCCTTAAGTATAAGACACGCCTTACAGTACGAGGAGATTAATATAAACGGTTGAAGACTAAAGATAACTCCGCCGCTATATTAGCCTTATAGTCCTTCCGTATACTAATAGCAATTGCCGCCCGATTTAATATAGAAATAAGGCAGTTTAACGCTATTAATATATTCGTTAACACTAGCCTTAAGGAGGAAGTATTTATAAAGATACCGTAAGGCTACGAAGCACTACTACTACGGAAAGCCCTTTTCAGTTTAAGGGTATCGTTACTATTATAGTAGGAGGAATTTAGCGGCACGCTATTGAAGATAGGATTCACGGCGATACCTAATAACCCCTATATTATAATCCTCGACAGTTTAATTCTATTCTTTTACGTCGACGATATCGGACTTATATACTATAAAGACCGTAAGACTAACGCTAATAACCTTAAGGCCACCCTTAAGCGAAGCTATAGATTATTAGGAGGCGAAGAAATCTATTAGTTCCTAGGAATTAAGGTCCTAAGGGATAAAGCCACCCGTAGGTTATAGCTATTATAATCCTCCTATATAGAGAAGATCGTGGTTAAATACTACGTAGATATACTCTGCCGAAAACTATTAAAGGTCCTATTATCTATAGAGCCGTTAATACTACGCGATAGTATACGCGCGTTAATTCTCGAGGTCTATTAGTATTAGGGTATAATCGGTTTTATCCTATATACCGCTATTATAATAAGACCCGATATCGCGTTCGCCTATTCGAAGCTTTCCTAATATAATATTAACCCCTCCTCTAACCACCTTAAGAGGGCTTAATAAGTACTACTATTCTTATACTATATAAGGCACCACTACTTAGACTTCGGTGGGGATAGACTCTTCCTAACCGTAAGCGACGCGTCCTTCGGGGATAATCTAGACCGTAAAAGCTCCTAAGGATACACGATAAAGCTCTTCGGCGGCACTATTAACTAAAAGGCGGGTAAGTAACCGATAGTTACGACGTCGTTAATAGAGTTAGAATTACTCGCTCTTATAGAGGGCGCTAAGGAGATATTATTTATTAGTCGGATATTAAGGGATTTAAAGCTTCGGTTAGATTAATAATAACCATAGCTATACTATAATAATTAGTAGACTATTAACCTTATTAATAAGAAGGTAGAACGGCTACGAATAAGGCTTTAGTATATCGATATTTATAACTAGTAAGCACGCTAGTTAGTATAGCAAAGTCTATTTAAGGTTATATACGTTAATATAAGGGATATAATCGCGGACGGCTTAATAAAGGCCCTACTAGAGGCGGGGATTCAATGACTATAATAATAGCTTAATTTAACGGATTGAAAGGATTATATCGAGTAGTTAAAATAACTATATAAAGAGATCGAACACGCTAAAGCTATAGCGACGATAAGTGCCCCTAAGGGCGTAGTAGATCTAATAGATATAGATCCGATTAAGTAGATCCGGCTAATTAGGTCTAAGGAACTAATTAAGATAGATATAAATTAAACGGTTAAATAGGGCGGATTTAGATCCCTTTTACGAGGGCGTTTTTTCCCTTAACTATTAATTTTATAATAGAAAAGTTAAGAGCGTTTAGTTTAAACTAAAGCCTCTAATTAGTTAATTAACCTTGGAAGACCCACCTTAACTAAGGGAATGTATCGTATAGGCAGGACCACGACGTGGTCTATAGGGGATCCATAGGGGATCTACTCCCTAACTAAGGGCTTCAGACCTCGGGTATTAGAATATAATAGGGGCGGATACCGGAAAAGACTGGATAGAATCTAAATAATATAGTACCTATAACAGAGTCTTTACCACCTAAATTAAGGGTATAAAAGACTCACCCGGATATAACTTAATATAATATATATACACGAGATTTCTGCTCTACTAAGTTAATTATTTAAGTGCCTATTTAACGTGCGATAATTTATATGCTGACAGCGGCAGAGCCGGGTGCTGACAAGATAGGGTCTAGTTACTATATATTTATAAGTATATGCTGCTAAGACGACGTTAATTCTAATCCGGTTAGTGCATTTTGGTGTGACCGACCCCCACCGCCAAAGGTTTCTTACCGCGACTCGAGGTTTCGGACGGTTCCCGACGACATCATCGCCCGCCTCTTTTCACTTCCGTCCACTCAGCCAGCTCTTCTTCCCACCCCAGCACCCCATCCCATCTGAACCATCTTCCCCACAGCCCCTCATCATTCTCAAGGTATTCGACCTTTTTGCTTTTTATTTTCCATCTGTTCCCTTTGACCGACTCACCCAATCGTCACCGACAGCTCTAGCGGCTTACCTCCATGAGCTGAGTCGACAGAGTCATCCGGTTCGCCTCGATTCCTGCCGTCACACAAAAGCGCTTGAGAGATCTCTACTGACGCGTGCTTCTTATCTCGTCAACAAGCCTAGGGAATATTCCCTTTGCCGGAACCAAAAACAAAAGAAAAAACGAAAGAAAAAAAGAAGAGAAAACGCCAGTGTGTCTGCTTTCAAAGGCAGTGAGGACCCCACAACCCTGCAGAATCAAATATCAACCAAGAGACCCAAGCATGACGTCAAGCTCGGACGAGGGAGAGATCCTTGAGCATGACTCTGTGAATTTGAAGGCAACTTCATCGCCGAAGAAGCTTGAGGGAAACGGTGTTGACCGTCCAGACAGACTTCGAGATGGATACTCGCGCTCCAGGTCTCCCGAGCACGCGAACGGCTCCAGCCCTCGGCACTACCGCTCTTCGCGCTACAGCCGCTCCCCGCCGCCGCGCGCCCTGAAACGACCCCGCGATGATCGTGATCACCGGAGACACAAAGATGATATGCGCCGCTTCTGGGTGCACTACGAGGACTACGATCGCGATTCGTCTTACCGCCGCTCGCGCCTCTCCTACGATGACATCGACCGTTCGCCGGATCGAGATCTGGATAGGGATAGGGATAGAGATCGTCCCAGAGACAAGGACAGAGACCGTAATCGCTACACCGACAAGAGGGCTCGCGTCAGAAGTCCATCTCCCTTCGGTCACCCGCACGACAAGAGACTGAGAGACGATCGGTATAGGAGGGACGATGGTCGACTCAAAGGTCGTCCCGACGGTTCCTCGAGGGAGAGCGGACCTGAAGACCAGAAAGAACGGGTGTACCGAAATGGCCATACCCCGTCCGCAAGGGCCACAGTAGGAGAGGACTCGCGTAATCCCAGATATGATGCTAAACCTCGAAAAGGCCATGCCGATGAGACACAGCAGGCGTCCGCCGAAGACAAGCCAGAGAAGTAAGCTGTTCTATCTACACCATCTGTTGCTTCGCCCTGACTAAACCCTGACTAACCAGAGAACACAGGCGCTCCACCCAGGTTCCCAGGTCGCAACAAGAGCCTGAACCGGAGCCAGACTTTGAAAAAAAGAATGTCATCGATGAAGACGCCGAAATTGAACGACGCCGACGCCGACGAGCAGAACTCCTGGCCAAGTCTAGCTCTGCGACGCCGCTCCTCGTTCATGCAGTTCATGCAGCTGATAGGTCGTCTGTCTCTTCTCCAGGCCCAACCCAGCAGACAACACCTGCGTCGATGGATGTCGACACTTCTCAATCCGGTATGGCTTTTTCTTTTTACCGGTTTCCTTGTCCCCTTTTCATTCCCCGTTTCCGAGTCGGCCCCTGGTCTGCGCACTGCTAACAAAGATTAGACGCCCGATCACCGAGTTCTCCTCCGGCCGAGCGCTCACCAGATCTCGACATCATGAACGAGACGGATCTGATGAATCGCCACGCAGTCAAAGATCCCGAGGACGATGGACCGTCTGCCGCAAACTACGACCCCACTCTCGACATGAAAGAAGACGAGAAACGCGATGGGTTGAGGCACGGTAACGTGGGACTCCACGGCGAGGTCCAACCCCAGACGTTACCGCTGAAACCAAAGGACGAAGATGAGGTGCAAAACAAAGCCCCAAAGGATGATGACGACGACGACATGGACATGTTCGCCGACGACTTTGACGAGGAGAAGTATGCAGCCCCGAAGCCGACAAAGGCGACGACGGTCGTAGAGAAGGACACGGAATCCCCGGCTCTCGGACAGCAGCCCCCGGGTGGTGGTCTTCTCGAAGATGACGACAAGGATGGGTACTACAAGATCCGTATCGGCGAGGTCATGAACGGTCGGTATCAGGTCCAGTCGATGCTTGGTAGAGGAATGTTCTCCGGCGTCGCCCGGGCGCTCGACATCACGACGAAGAAGCTGGTTGCCATCAAGATCATGCGGAACAACGATGCCCTGAGGAAAGGTGGTTTTACCGAAATCTCGATTCTTCAGAAGCTCAATGATGCCGATCCCGACAACCGCAAGCACATCATCAAGTTCGAGAGGCACTTCGATCACAAGGGCCATCTCTGCATGACCTTTGAGAATCTTAGTCTCAACTTGCGAGAAGTGTTACGGAAGTTTGGGAACAATGTGGGCATCAACCTCAACGCCACGCGCGCCTACGCACACCAGATCTTCGTCGGCCTCGCTCACATGCGCAAGTGCAGCGTCATCCATGCGGATTTGAAGCCCGACAACATCCTGGTCAACGAGAGTCGTAACCTGTTGAAGATTTGCGATCTGGGGACGGCCATCGACAAGTCCGACGCTGCCACTGCGCATAACGAGATTACTCCTTATCTGGTCAGCCGCTTCTATCGCGCGCCGGAAATCATCCTCGGTATGCCTTACGACTATGCCGTCGACATGTGGTCCATCGGCTGCACCTTGTATGAGCTGTACACGGGCAAGATCCTGTTCACGGGGAACAGCAATAACCAGATGCTCAAGGCGATCATGGAGATTCGCGGCAAGATTACGCCCAAACTGTATAAGCGAGGCGAGCTCTCCGGCATGCATTTCGACGACCTGGGTAACTTTCTCAGTGTTGAGCACGACAAGGCGCTCGAAAAGGTACGTTTGTTTCGCTTTTTGTTTTGTTTGTTTTGTTGGCCTTGTGTTTCTATTTTCATGATGAAAATTTGTTGGTCCTTTTGCGCCGTTTCTTGGTCGCTCCAAGCGCCGTCGACGAGACCCCTGCCGACTGGCGAATATGCACGTAGTGTTTTGGGGCCGTCAACAGTCGTCTGCAGAGGGCGTCTCGAAGCGCCGAACTGGGGCCGCAGTCATGGTCGCATGTGATTGTCCGATGACGCGGCCTTCAGGGGTGTGCTATGCCCGTAGTTGGTCGAGTTGGGGGGGGGGGTTTATTTTATTTTTTTAGCTCCCTTTTTCCATCAGTTCTGTCCCTCCCGGCCTCCTTTTGCATGATATTGCAATCTCTCCGTGCAATCGTTCGTTGTACTAACCTGTCATCCTCTTACAGACGACGGTTCGGACCCTGGCGATTGTCAAGCCCACCCGGGACCTACGAACCCGGTTGATGGCCGCATCGGCGGGCATGGACGACGCCGAGAGCAGGGATCTAAACCATTTTATCGACCTGCTCGAGCATTGTCTCGCGTTGAACCCTGAAAAGCGAATCAAGCCATTGGATGCGCTGAAGCACCCCTTCTTTACATCCAGGACCATTGCGCGGCGTTGACCATCTGCAACATCATGGCTGGTGGGGTGTTCGACATTGGCCTCTGTCATCCAACAGGCCCCTGGGAGGGGCCAAACTTACCACTATGCAGTTCATCGGACGGGTTGGCTGTGTTTAGCGCGGGACTGGGTTTTGTTAATAGCAAATCGGCGCTTTTCTCAGGCAATCTCAATGCAAGGCATATCGGTATATCGGCGGCTAGAATAGAACATGACAGCCTGTTGCAACATTCTAATTCATTCATTCACTTCACTGAAATGGGACCACGATGTTAAATGCGACTGCGTCACGACTGGAACAGGACCATGGGCAGTGGGGGTTTCCCCGGGCGCAAGACTGATGAATTGGGGAATCCAACTCTGCCTTGTTAGTATGATTGGACGTTGGAGGTGGGAGTAAGACTTCGGTATCACCCATCCATGCATGCATTCGACGTGTTGGCTACGGTTCAAAGACCCGTGTCGGCCGTGGCGCCTGCTGGATTCAGGACGACATGACTTACCTCCTTTCTCGCTCTCTCCCTCGGTGGTCGGCGTCGGAAACGCCCCCTTGCTATAGCCACTGGTCGGCTGAATCTTTTCCTTCGCTCTTCCGTCCGATTTATACTGGATGAAGCATGCTGACGGGAAGACGGGGAGGGGGGAGAAGAGGGTGAAGAAAAAAAAAACGGAAATGAAACAGAGAAGGTGAGAAAAAAAGAAGAAAAAAAGGTATCTTGTCGAAGGACCCATGTTGTACGACATGATTTGCACCAGTCAGACCATGACAACAATGAGCACAGAAAGTGAGGCTTCTCCCGCCTTCGAAACACCGGCAGTCTCGTCCGCACCTCGCAGGGCGACATTATCATTGCGAACGGCATCTTCCGCGAAGAGCATGCTTACGAGAGTGGTTCCCAGGCAAGGGAGAAGGGTGGCCACAGGCGCACAAGGCACTCCCGACTGGCGTTGCCGACGCATCACAGCGACTGGTGTTTACTGCGGTGTCCCGTCATACATGCTTGTTTGTGTTATGTGCCCCAGAAGCGATCGATGTTGTGTGGCAGACCAGACCAACAACCCTGTGTGTCTTCGCCTTCTCCTTCTGAACGTTCCCCGTCCGAGAGTGTGGCGTTCCGTTAGGCGTGCCGGCGGTGGGGGCCGCATGTTGTCCAGCCGCTGCGGGGTTCGAAGCGGTTGGGTTGCCTGCGGGTTGCATGCGGGTAGCCGCCCGGTACCGGGTCCGGGTTCCGGTTCCGGTTCCGGTTCCGGTTGCCGACCAAGAACGGTGATGGCGGCGGCTGAGGCAACCAGGATTAGGGGAAGGGAAAAGGGGTTCATTGGATTTCTGACGCAGCGACGCCCCCCGAAAGTGACTCGAAACCTGTTGAGCGACAGACATGCACTGCATGGTGCACAGAAAGAGGGTGTTGCGGGACATTGTGAGTGCGGATACCTGCCTAAGCTACAGGCCAGGCCTGCGAGCTTCTCAAGAACGGGAAGAGGTGGCGGTTCTGAAGACATGACATAGGACGACGGCCTATATGATGGCAGTTGTTAGATGGAGGCTCCAGGATATCGGGGCGTGACTTCGGGACCTTTTCGGGTATAGTTCGGGTATAGTCTTAGCAAGTACTAACGACTCTAAATAGCCCTAACCCTGGTTATATAAATAGTTATAGATACTTCGTATAAGGGAATCTTTCCCTTTTATAGAAGAATAAGACTACGATTCCGGTACCGATATTCGTGTTCTAATAGTTATAAGCCCGGCGCTCTAAAAAACGAGCTTATTTTAGTAAATCTAATAGTATTACTATTTTAACGCCTATTATAATTTAGGGTTATTTAATAGTAACGTCCGCCTACTCTACGGTTATATTATTATTATGTTCTGTTTATTACTTACCCTATACTATACCGTGCCGTAAAGCCTCTGGAGTCTATAATGGATATAAAGGAGTACCCTGTGTTAAAGATCCTTCGAAAGCCCGATAATTAGAAACTATAGATTAATAGCGTCGGAGTAATCGCGACGTAGTACGAAGTCTAGGAGTATATTAACCCTAAGGTTCCAGATAAACAGCGCCTAAAATTAGTATAGCCTACTTTACCCGAAGAGGACTCTAATAACGAAGACTTTAACTTCCGTTTATTCTAAATTAAAGAAAGCCGATACGATAAGGCGTTTAATTGGATCGCGCGGGTTAATAACTATATAATCGGTAGCCTTAACCGCGACCTCTACTATTAGTTTAAGTCCTACGTATACGTTAGCGAGAGGATTTAAGTCTTAAAGGAATAAATTGTACCGTTAAATAAGGCGTAGAGGTACCTTATTAAGAGGAGGTAGGATAATTACCTATAAATAATAAAGAGAATACCCTATAAGTAATAGGTAAACGACTTTATTAAGCTATACCGATTAACGACTTAAATCTTTATAGGGGATATTAAAGATCCGGAAAGGTAGAACTATAAATTTTCTTTAAGTTATTCGGGGAATATTACCGGAATAGGGAGACCCTACCTTTATTTTGATCCACGACCTCGAAGAATAAGACTATCTAGCGCCTAAAGCCTTAGCGAGGAAGTATATTAGTTAGTTAAGGGTTTAAGAGCCTAAATACCTATAATTAAAGCTTACCTAAAATAGCTTCTATACCGCGATATTTCTCGGAAAGGATAAGAAAGGGAAGACCCCGGGGGGTAGGGAGTCCTTTAGGGGGTGGATTAATTTTATCTATAATTATATTAGGGCTAGAAGAAGTAATACCTATTATCGGCCTTAGTATATATACCCTAACGTTAATAAGATATAAAGGAAGGATAGGTATAAACCGTCGAAGGAAGTAGTTAAATACTATAAAGAGGTTATTAAGAGCTAGGATTAGGATCTTTAAATAAGCTTTAAAGCTAACCTGAAAAGGGAGGTGGAAAAGAGGAAGAAGGAGGCTACCGAATAGTCTTTATACTTCGCTACCGCTACTTAGAGTAACGATAGCGACGATAATTATACCTTTTTCTACGGTATATACGATTATATCATATCGTACGCTAATACTAGCTTTAGCCTCTTTAATAACCTTATTCCCGTTATTTATTAACCTATTCTTTAACCTATTATGCTACGCATTATAGAAGAAGTTAGCCCTCGCCCTAGCTCTTCGTTAGTACCTAGGGGGGTAGGGGAAGGCACCTCTATTAGTATTACGGGAGCCATTGCTCCTGCTGCTATTACTTTAACCGAACGGTTTAAACCTATTTTTAAAGAGGTTAGCCCTGGTTCTTTATTAAGATCTAGGGGGGTGGTAGCCTTTATTATTATAGGAGGAAAAGAGCCTCCTGCTGCCGTTAAACGGATTAAAGCTATTAAAATAGTTGTTGTTAAGGAAAAAGAAGAAGAAGATCTGACTACTACTGTTATTATAGTGGAAAAGGGAGAAATTCTAATCACTATTACTGCCGAGGAAGGTACTCGATTTAAGTTACGAGGTGGAGGCACAACGGCCGAAAGAGGTAAAAGAAGTATACCGCCTAGGCCTATAGTTCTAGTTCCTGATAAAGAGGAAGAGCTACGCCTATTAAAGGATTTACGGCTATTAGAATAGTTAAAGGGTGGATAGGGTTAATAGAGATGGATTATTACGTGGCTACGGCTGCTATAGCCTTGTTCATAGCTATTAACGGTTATTTTGGTGCTGCTTTTAAAGATAACGAGCTGTTTAATAAGCCGTTAATTCTACGTTTAATATCGAGCTATTTTAGACCTCGATTTTTGAGTGGTTTCAAGGGTTAGAACCGTTGGATATAATCCCTTAGTTCTGGGGGGCTGTGTTAGATAGAGGCTCCAGGATATCGAGGCGTGACTTCGGGACCTTTTCGGGTATAGTTTGGGTGTAGTCTTGGCAAGTACTAACGACTCTAAACAGCCCTAACCCTGGCTGTATAAATAGTCATAGATACTTCCTATAAGGGAATCTTTCCCTTCTGTAGAAGAATAAGACCACGATTCCGGTACCGATATTCGTATTCTGACAGCAGTAATGGAAGGGCTAGAGGGTGTTAGAGTATAGTGTATAGCAGTATAGTACACCTCTACCAGGGTTTAGTAGGTTAGCGCGTATATACACTAATATGATTAGCTAGTAACCTATAGGGATCTACACGGGTAGTAGTATAAACGAATATATAATAACTATACTAATTCCTAAGTATATATACTAATACAATTCTTTTTTACTATACTACTATTATAACTATCACGACTCTACTTAGTATCTCCTCCATCCCTCTTAATAACCTAATATAGGCGGGGTATTGTCAGATTATCGACTCTAGGAAATTAGGATTAACTGCTTTCTAGGCAGCCTCGATAGCTACCTTTAGTTCCTAACTACCTATCTATTAAAACGGGCTTCTTCTAAGGATTCTAGTAATAGCTTTAAGTCTGATATTAGCCTCGTGGCCGTATTTACTCTTGTATCTCTTTATATAGAATATGCGGGAAAGTATAGATCGGCAGGCTAATCTAGTGTAACTGGATAAAGACGTAGTGGCACCAGATCGTCAAGACAAATATCAGACAAAGAGGTCAGTCTAGTAAAACAACGATATATAACCAAAATATAACCAATACCGCTATAACCTTCAGCAAAGAAGTAGATCGGTAGTTATTATTCTGATTAGGGTAACGTAAGTTAAACTGGAAAGATACCTTAAACGTGGAATAAGTAATTATAAATAAGGATAATAATTAAATAATCGTCCCTCGATAGGGATATCTAGAGCCTGTCCTTAATATATATATAGGAGGCGGATCCCGTAGCCTTAAAAAGGGGGGTTATATAACTGGCTGCCGACACTACATCAAAGCCGTATCTACGCGGTGATAATACGGCCCTAGTTATCTTATTTACGCCCTCGTAGCGTAGATAACTCCTAAAAATAAGCAGATAGAAGCAAATAAACTAAGTAAGAAGCTATCGTATACCCTTATTCCTCTAATCACCCCATCCTCCACGTATACCTAATTAGGGATCCTCTTAGTTTTAGTTCCTTCTTATATACCGTTCCCTTACTATCTTTACTAACTATACCCTTAAGACGTCTCTTATCTAATCCTCTATATATACCTTTACTTACGCTTTTGTAAAGTCCTTCCTCTAACTATATAGTTAGGCTTATTAGCCTTCTTAGTCTTTTAATTAGCGGTAGCCTTATCTGCCTCCTATTTAATCCCCATGCTATAGCGGAGCTATCCTTCCTAAGGTACTACTTAAGGCGGTGGTAGATATAGCGCGCTATTAGCTATTATATCTTAGAGGCTAGCTTAGTATAGGTTACTAAAGGACTTAACCTATTCTTCCTTAGTATATAGGCTTAGCCTAATAGGACTAACACACTTAGCTAGAGGCCGTATATCTACGAGTCTATAGTAGAGAAGGTAATAAGATATCTTAGTGCCCTTAGCCTAATACTTCGCCTCCTTTTCCTATTTATCTTACATATTATAACTCCTTTTCTTTAAAGCGGTAAAGGGCTTAGGCGCCTTTAGAGTCTTAGGCGTCTTAGGTATCTTCGGTATCTTCGGGGGCGGCGTTTTCTTAATAATCGGCGGCGTCTACTTCACTACTTTCTTACCTTTAGGCGTTTAGAGCTTAAGACCACTAAGACCTATATCGTCGACGTTATTACTATTATCGGATAATACTAGGGGGTCTTAGAAACTTTAGTCTAACGTGTTAGTAAGGTCTATAATCTTAGGATTAGGGGAACTAGTAAGGTTAATAGACTCTTCCTCGACTTTAGGCGTTTTAGGAGTCTTAGGACCCTTAGGCGGGTTACCGGTATCGACTTCTTAGTCTTATTAATAGGCTAGAATCTAGTCGCTTTAGGGGCCTTAGGAGGCGGCGTCGCGGGCTTTATAGCTAGTTCTATATAGTAACCGAAGCCGAAAAGTTTACTAATATAAATTACCTCGCCTTCTTTAATATACCGAGTATATTCCCCTATATTATTCCCGTGATAACGGCCTTAAGTAAATCTATAGATCTTAGAGCTTTAAGGGAATAGGTATCCCTCTTAGACTAAAGCTTTAATCTATTCTATAATAAAAGGACTATATAAGTAACCGTCTAGCTATATAGGGCTAAGGATAATATAAAACTTTTTAGCTATACTATTAACGGCTTCCTTAGGAGCTCTGATAAAAATTATCTATAGTATCGTAAAACAGGCGATTTTAAGGAGGCGTTATTTACCTTTACCGTTAGACTATATACTATCGTACCTATATATAATCTAAGTCTTCTAGTCGATAATTAGGCTAATAAAATAGTTACCGTTAATATAGCAGATTATAGGGATAAAGCGGTTAGTTTTAGCACGCTGCCGTGCCTTATCGGAGAGAGTTATAAACTCTACCTTACCCTTGGTATCTATTCCCTAGCATGGAATCTTATTAAGGAATACCGTAGGCCTTAAATCCCCTTACCTATGGCTAAGCACCGCACTTATTACCTTTTCTATATCGCCCTTCTCTTACCACCTATCGGCCTTAATATCTTTACGTAGCCGGTAAGCTAATATTAAAATAGAACGGACTTTAAGATAGCGCTCGCTATATAAGATTATTAGAGGGGACTATAACGCGACTAGTTCTACGATTTCTACGTTTAGCCCGTTATTCTTATTCTAGCCTAGGAGTCCTTAAACTATCTACTAGCCTTCCTTTAAG